ATACCTTGGCCCCACAGTACCTATATAGAGACTACTGTAGGGCCGAAATATGTGCATTTGGGGCACATGGACGCTTAGGGTTTTTATAATTGTCAGGCTGAAGGTTGGGCTTAGGGTTTATGGCTTAGGGGTTTAGGGTTTAGGGCTTAGGGGTTTAGGGTTTAGGGGTTTCGGGGTTTAGGGGTTTAGGGATTTAGGGTTTAGGCCACAGTTATAATCTTAACCCCGCGGAATACCATTACTCAACTGACTGAGGCCCCTACGTCACACTCGATGAAAGAGGGCTTACACAAAAATCTGCGGACCAGGCAGGCTCCATCACAACCTCAAGCCTAAGCCCTCCCGTAAGCTACAACAACCGACTTTGTGTAGGTACTTATAACAAACCGTAACATAACCCTAGTAATTATGGGCCTTATAGGAGGTTCTGCAAAGTTATCATACATCCTAACATGACCCTAATAGGGAACTTTGTAGGGACCCTGCAGAAGCGCAGGTGTTGGTAGGTTGAGGTGAACCAGGAGCCCTGGACCCGAAACCCCCAACCCTATTTAGGGTTTAGGGTTTAGGGTTTAGGGTTTAGGTGCTAAACCCTTATAAACCCCTAAACCCTAAACCCACGAGTTCATAACTCCAAGGTACCGTAAAGCCCAGAATCCTCAACTAGGGTTTGGGGTTTAGGGTCTAGGATCTACGGTTTAGGATTTAGGGGTTTAGGGGGTTTAGGGCTGGGAGTGTGAGTTTTGCGAAAACGTGAGAGCCACAGCAGGGAGAAAACTCCCAAAGTCTACACACAGCAGACCAAAAGCTAGGATAACCTTAAGTAGGATTTAGGGTTCAGGGTTTACTAAGGTACTCCTATCCCCGATAAGAACTTCCGGCTAAATCCCCTCATCCGTTAAGTAGCCCTAAACCCAAACCACGGAGCAAACCAAACCCTAAAAGCTCTCATCGGAACCCCTAAAGGAGCCCATTGCGGAATCTCCTCCAGCACTTGGACGCAAGCTGGCACTGCCTGGACCTTCCAATCTCTCAATTCTCGGTGGCGCATCTCTTCGGACGAAGGCAGCCTCCCAAAAGGGTTTAGGGTGTACGGTTTAGGGTAGGGATTCCGAAAGAGCGCAATACCCGGCACTGAAGGAATGTCACTTGAATCATACGACTAGGGAATAGACGACCTCCACCCAGTCCGCCCTCCACCCCTCCACCCCTCCCTCTCCAAGGGTGGCTTCGGATCTCTTGCCCCGTCGGGGTATAGGCTTCTTTGGCCGGTTTACTCAGGCCTGAACCCTTCCAGTTGCAAGGGATACATTTTCTACCAAAATTTGGACCTGGATGGCACTTTTAAACGCCCAGTCCCTAAACCCGAAATAACTACACCCCGCACTATCTCGCAAGATCCTACCTATAGTCTCCATTGTAGTTCCTATTTCCTTATAGGATCCATATACACATAAATATATATATATATATAAATATGTATGTTTATATGTATGTATATATATATATGTATATATATATATATATACATACATACATACATAGATGGTTAAACCAAAACTGGAGCTACAATGGAGACTAATTATGGGTATTTCGAATCATTAATTATTGCCCTCTGTTACTTACTTGACCAGTATCCCACGTGAACTTATTGGAGAGGGATTATGGTAGCCAGAAGGTTACATACTCTACTACTATCGTAGAAGCCCAAAAGTTGGAAACCCAATAGCCCCCATATGTTGGAGAGTCAGGTATAGGCATAGGGAATCCCAGCACTATTTGACCTTAATCCGGTTTCCAACTTTTGGGGGTTTAGGGTAAGATTGATTGGGCCTTAACCCTAAACCCTAAACCCGGATGAGGCTTCGTAAGGCTGTGGTCTGCAGGCAGGAGTAGCGTTCAGGCTTAAAGGGCTGTCGACTTTGGTGGTGTAGGGTTTAGGGTTTAGGGCTTATATGGCATCTACCTGGCCCTAAAAACCTAAACCCGAAACCAGAAGCCCTGCCCCAAACCCTCCACCCTCACCTGTGAACCCTAAGCCCCTGTAGAACCCAACCTCAATAGCACGTTCGATCAAACCACTAACCGTCACTAACCCCAACTCTATCTGTGGTTTACGGTTTAGGATTTACTGTTGCACAGCCCGCGCCTGTTGACAACCCTAAACCCCTAAACCCTATGCCCGAGACCCGAACCCTAAACCCTAAACCCTAAATCCCTAAACCCTATGCCCGAAACCCTAAACCCTAAACCGTGCCTGTTGAGTGCATGTTCGCAAAGCGACCGGAAGCTCCGGCAAGACAGTGTCTCCAACCCGATGTCTGTGGGCTCCGCGTAGTCAGATGCGCCTTGCATGGCGTAATAGCTAAGACTGCGGCATTTAGGGTTTAGGTTTTAGGGTATAGGGTTTAGGGCTTAGGTTTTTTTGGATTTAGGGTTTAGGGTTTAGGTTTTAGGATTTAGGGTTTAGGGTGACTACTGCGTTGGCGGGCGGGGGTGTGAACTTGTAATGGTTTAATCAGGGGTCTGAAGCTCCACCTGACTAAAATGCCATGCCGTTGTTCGGTTATGTTGGCTTCTTGCTGTAAGATCCTAACACGGTCTAAGTTCACAAAAGCCATCCAACAAAACCCAAATGATTTACATTCTAGGGGCTAGGTAGGATTTATGTGTGGGTTTCTGCCTACGGTTCTGGGACTGGTTTCGGGCGTGTGGTACATGCTTTATGCGTTCGGGGTTAGGGTCTGCCCTAAACCCTAAACCCTAAACCCTAAACCTCAAACCCTAAACCCTAAACCTTAAACCCTAAACCCTGCGCTTTGGGGTTTACGTTATTCATTAGGGTCTAGGGTTTAGGAACCTCCAGCGCCCAACCTACAAACTAGGAGGTTGTCACCCCACATGTGTGTTTTCGGCTTCCTTCATTCCGACACCCTATGCCGTATACCCAATGAATTTCCCCAAAAACCTACACCCTACACCCCTTATGAACCTGAAATCTTAAACCTTAAGCCCATGGTGCCTTCTTGCTCTGCATTGCAGGCCGCTGCAGCACGCAACATGGGAAGGACTCGTCGCCAACCGGATGCATCCACCTCGACTTGAGAACATCACGGACTGCATGCTTTCGAGGTTTAGGTGTAGGCTTCCTCCCTGCCTGTGGCTTAGGGCTTTAAGTCTATCCCTAAAGGTCCAAGTTGTCCCGATTGGCTAAAGAGACCCAAAGGCCTATAAGGAGTACCTGGTAATTTAGGGTACGGGTATGGCTTCCTAAAGCCGAAATTGCAGGGTTAAGATTTGGAGGCAGCTTGGTGGGCACTGTTTTGGCGGCTGTCAGCGGGAAAATCTCCTCTGAAGCCTCTAGTCATTCAAACCCAAATCCGAAACCCGATAAACAAGCAGAACCACCATGATATAAAGCCGGTTTTAGGTTTACCTTAAACCCAAATAACTACTTTCTTAAGGGGTTATATAAGGAAATCATAACAAAGAACCCTAAAACGGTAGGTTCTGTAGGGTTTATAGGGTTTAGGGTACCCTGTAGAACCCTAAACCCTAAACCCTAAATCCAAAACCCTAAACCCTAAATCCTAAACCCTAAACCCCAAACCTGAAACCCTAAACCTTAAGCCCTAAACCCTAAACCTTAAGCCCTAAACCCTAGAACCTAAACCTCAAACCCTAAACCCCAGAACCCCGTAGATCCCTTGGAGGAACCTTGCCTCGCCCCGGAACCTGGGCCAAGTTCCAGAGTACAAAGCTACGGACAGTCATCAATACAGCTATCAAGGGTTCAGGGTTCAGGGTTTAGGGTTTAGGGTTCAGGGTTTAGGGTTTAGGGCTCAGGGTTTAGGGGGTTTAGGGTTCGGGGTTTAGGGTTTGGGGCATCAGCCTTACTCTATAGAGCAAGGTTCTCTGTTGTAGTACACTGAAGCAACAAACAAGTAAACAAAAACGTAGAAATATAAAATGACCCTAATAACTATATATATATATGTATATTGTATAATATAAATAAAAATATAAATATAAATATATATATATATATATATATATGTCCCTCTCTCTCTCTCTCGCCTCCACGGTGACTGCTTTTCGACCTGGTGGTCCGCCAGCGAGCTGCCAGAACTTCCGATAAGCCTTGCCATACTTGGAAGTTCATGGGTTTAGGGTTTAGGGTTCTGCCTAGGAACATACGGTTGATGATATAAATCCTGCATTACCCAGAAATCGGAATCTGCCGTAATTCCCATAGTTTAGGGTCCTTCAGGCAATGCAGGATTTGTATCATCAACCGTAGGAACATAGTTTGAACCTATACCGGAGCACAGTATGCCTCAAAACATGGGAGAAGGGGGGGGGGGCACCAGTATGTTTGGGCCACAGTGTCTTAGTTATAAAACCAAATATTTCAAGCCTCATACAATACAAGGTCTATTCCTTACAAACCCTGGATTTTTCTGTCAAAACTTCTTAGAGACCTATAAATCGCTTTGACATATTCCTTCTTTAAGGGATATTTGGCTCTCTGGGTTTGGGGCGTAAGTAGTAGTAGTAGTAGTAGTAGTAGTAGTAGTAGTAAAGGCCGCTTGGAAATTTCGGTCGTATTGTTGTTATTGCAGAGGTTCTACGTGGGTTTCTACAGGGGTTCTATAAGGCCTGCTATCGAACATGCTTTAGGTGTTTAGGACGGTTTTGGGTTTTGGGCTTTAAGGCTTGTAATGGGGCTTCAATGTTTCAGGTTTCACTGTAGACGGTTTAGATTTGGTTTTGATGTCGGTGGAAACAACGGCTTGCTTAACTGTACGCAGATTGGGTCAAACCATAGCCTGCTAGTCTTGAGGGTTTACGATTTCGGAACAACTCAGACCTACATCTGTTCTGACTCCAAACAAAGCAGCCATCTGACTTACTCTTTCCTCTGCTTGCATACCACCTAAACCCAAAACCCTAAACCCTAAACCCCTGAACCCCTAAACCCCTATGGACTCTCTAATCGAAGCCGCCACAGGCCTATGCCGTTAGATGCTAGCCAGCCCTGAAGCAAATCCCATACTCTCTTCATAAGCCCTGATGAGCCCCCTGAAGCCCTGACAGGGTTTGGGGTGTAGGGTTTAGGGTTTAGGGTTTAGGGTTTAGGGTTTAGGGTTTAGGGTTTAGGGTTTAGGGTTTAGGGCAAAAACAGGGAGGCCCAGGCCTCCTTCTGCACCGCTGTGCTGCCCTCGCTGCAGATGGGCGCAGTGATTTGCAGGGACGTCACTGCAGGCGCCTGCGGGTGTCTAGGGCTTCCAGGCTTATGGTTTGGAGGTTGTACATCGGGGGCTTTGGTTCTTTGGCTTAGGGTTTAGGGCCTTAGAATTGCATCAGAAAGCACAAGCACAAACCAGAACGTAGAGGTGTACACATGGCAATGCAACAGAGTCTACATGTACTTATACCAGTACGCAGGATCTGTGTTTGTCTTTACGGCTTCAGGGCGACGACATCTGAACTTCGATAAAAACCCTAAACCCTAAACCCTAAACCCTAAATCCCTAAACCCTACATCCCTAAACCCTAAACGCCTAAACCCTTATCGGGTTCAGGGCTCGTGGATGCCTGGCCTGCTGGAAGCAAAAGCCATAATCCACAAACAGTGTTGGCATGTTCTTTTCGCCTTAGAGTTTAGCATTTAGGGTTCAGGTTTTTGGGTTTAGGGTTTAGGGTTCCGCAATAGCCCCTTAACAATAGTTTGAATGATGACAGTACATAGCAGTACTGTTTTTCCTACAACTAGGTTTAGTAAGGAGACCCAAAAACCAAAAAATGGCACCATGGGAAACCTAGTCGCCGTATGTCTGAAAGACTTCCCGACCGTCTGCCACAGGCTTGGTGATGCGCATGAGGACATAGCCGTCCTCCGCAGCGCCTGACCTAAACCCTAAACCCTAAACCCCAAACTCTAAACCCCAAACCAAACCAGCGGGCCTAACTAACCCTAAACCCAAACCCTGTACTCGCAACTCAAGGTTCTAGATCCCAAGCTCACAATAGCCAACTAAACCCTAAACCCTAAACCAAAAATCTCTAGACTCTAAACCCTAGACCCCACCCCCAACAAAAACTTAAACCCTAAGCCCTAAACCAGAAAAACCCTAAACCCTAAGCCTATCGAGAATAGGACTGAAAACCTACTAAAGCGCCTCAATAATTAGACTATAGGGCTTTAGGGTTTAGGGTTTAAGGCATGGTTTAGCGTTTAGGGCATGGTTTAGGGTTTAGGATTTAGGGTTTAGGACATGGTTTAGGATTTAGGATTTAGGGTATACTAAGCAACCACAGAAATACGAATATTATGGCCACTCATTCAGGCCCCTATATTGCCTTCTTTATCCTGTTTGCGAGAAAGGCTCAAGGTTCCAAACTTTAAACCTTACTAAGGCCCAAGCAGACATGAAACCCGAAGCCCTAAACCCTAAAGCCTAAACCCGACGCCCTAAAGCCTAAACCCGGAGCCCTAAAGCCTATGTCATGTCTTCGAGATACCTTGCCTTAATAAGGCCCAAGCATGAAACCCGAAGCCCTAAACCCTAAACCCGGAGCCCTAAAGCCTAAACCCGAAGCCCTAAACCCTAAACCCGAGGCCCTGAAAACCCATGTCATGTCTTCGAGATAGGCTGCTGCCTGGCTGGAAGGCATAGCGGGCGGAGAGCTCTTCTCCTGAATGAACTAACAAACGGTTTAGGGTTTAGGGTTTAGGGTTTAGGGTTTAGGGTTTAGGGGTTTAGGGTTTAGGGGCTTAGGGTTTAGGGTTTAGGGCGGCCGTCAGTCATAAAGAGCACCCTGTCCACAAGGCACGATTGATGACCCCTAACCCGAAACCCTAAACATCTAAAGCCCTAAAGCCCGAAAACCCTAAACCCGAAACCCTAACTAATGCTTGATCTAGTCTCCCTGCCCATGGTTCAAGAGGTCGGCCCACGGCACAAGGCAGCGTTGCGAGGTTACGCCGTCCAAGGGCAGGCTGTACGCCCGACTGGCAACCTCAACCGCTCTAAGGGCAGGGCTTAGGGTTTAGGATTTAGGGTTCAGGGGTACGGGGCTTAACCTGTTCTGCGACATGCTTAACAGCATAGCGATCAACCTTCAACCCTGCACAAACATAAACACAACATCCACAAACAGTCCAGAACATGGGTTTGATGTAACCAGAATGTGTGTGTTTTGACCCTAATCTCATATCGGTTAGGTCCAAAAAAACCAAGACCTAAACCCTAAACTTGTAACCCCCTAAACCCCTAAAGCCCTAAACCCCTAAACTCTAAACCCTAAACCCTAAACCCTGCGCTAGAGTAGGGTATTCCAGAGCCAAGGAGACCATGCTTCGGCACCACAGAAAATCCTCCCAGCATATCGGTATATGATCCGCAGCGTGGCTCCTTGGCTGCCATCTGAATACGCCCTAAAGAAGGTTTAGGGTTTAGGGCTGAGGGTTTCGGGTTTAGGGGTCAGGGTTTAGGGCTTAGGGCGCGCCTAGACCCCCAACTACCCTCTATTGTACCATAAATACCCACTATTAAGGACCATAAGCGCTCTATTAGAAGGCACTTGGGGGGTCCTCGTAGGGCTTGCGGTTTAAAGGGTTTGGGGCTTTGGGAAAATCGGAAACAGCCCTCAAAACCAAAGCCCCAACCCCTGAAACCTGGACCCTAAACCCTGAACCCTAAACCCTTAACCCTAAACCCTAGACCCTAAACCCTCTTCGTTTCTTACAGGACCAAGGAGCAGCAACGCTAAGCAGCGCTGAGGGCGGAAGCTCGGGTTGCTGAAAGCCGAGG